TTTAACTTTTGTGTTGCGAATTTGACTTTTGTGTTGCGATTTACAAATTCGCGTTGCGATTTACAGATTCGCGTTGCGAATTTGGAAAATCGCAATGCGATTTACATATTCGTGTTGCGAAATTGGAAACTGGGTTGCGAAATTGGAGTTCCCGTTGCGAAATTGAGATCGCGTTGCGAATTTGTTGGTCATTTTGGCAAATCCAAAAAAAATGGTTAAAATCGTATATTATAAGGCATTTTCGGTCACCGAGGTTATTTTCTCTTTAAAAAACATAGAAAATGAGAAGGTTGCAAAATATCAATTTTTTTAAAAATAAATATTGATATTACTATTTGATGGTCGATACTTTAACATTTGATGAATAGTAAAATATCGATACTTTTTCTATTACGTTCGATACTTTAATATTTGAGAAAGTTTATGGAAATTAAAATATCGATACTTGTTTATTTCACACACAAAATCAAGTTAAGATCAAAAGTTATTTATTTGAATTTTTTCATTAAAATATCATTGTAAAAATATCGATAATGTAATAATAATTACGACTTAACTAGTTAAAATGAAATAGGCGCAACCTATTACGTTTAAACTAGTTACTAGTTTGTTTAAAGGTATATAAAAATGTAAACAGTAAAATATTTCAACTTATCAGTTAAAATAAAATACACGCAACATATTACGTTAAACTAGCTACCGTTTTGTTTAAAGGTATAATAATAATGTAAACGGTAAAATATTTACAACTTAACCAGTTAAAATATAATAGGTGCAACATATTACGTTAAACTAACTATCGGTTTGTTTAAGGTTATATTAATACTATAAACGGTTTTACAACTTACCATTTGAAATATTTTTTTTTAAATTTAAAAGTATTGATACATGTAGGTTGATGTTGAGGGGGAGTTCATCAACTTTTTAAAAAATCTCAATACATCAAATATCAATTATATATATTATAACATTCATCAACTTTTTCAAATGCTAAAATCTCGATAATGGTCATCAAAAATCTAAAATTCTAAAGTATCGATACCGGATATTAATAATTTTCTTGAATATGTATCGATACATATACACTAAGTATCGGTATTAATAATTTCCATACATCTACACTAAGTATCGAAATTGAGTATAAGAGTTTTGGTACTTTTAATCTCATTTCGCCTCTTTTTTTTATCGGTTACCTTAATTAAAACAATAACGGTTAGTTACAAGGAAGTAGGAGAAACCAAAGTATTGATATTTTCTGTAAGTATCGATATTTTTACATAGATATTTTAATGGAAATTTTCAAATAAGTAACTTTCGATCTTAACATTTCAATTTTTTCCAAATTAACAAGTTTCTAAAATGCTAAAATATCGAACATCATAGAAACAGTATTAATATTTGCTAAAGTATCGACCATCATATCATAGTAGTATATATATTTATTTTAAAAACAATTTCCATCCAAAGATACAATTACATATTTCGCTACCGATTTCATTAAACACAACTTTAACATTCCATATCGCAACATATTTATTTATTCACAATAACATTATTTGTTGCAACCTAATACGTTAATATTTATTTATAACAAAATAAGTATTTAACTTATTTTGTTGTCGTGAGATTTATAATGTTCTATTAGCTTAAACTTTGGTAATATTTTAAGTGCAACCTAATATGTTGATAATATTCATAACAAAATAAGTAATTAACTTATTTTGTTATCATGAGACTTCTAAGGCCCCATCATCTTAAACTCTCATAATATATTAGGTGTAACCTAATATGTTAAAAATATTAATAACAAAATAATAATTAACTTATTTTCTTACCGTTTATAATATTTTAGGCATAACATGTTATATTATTACGGTTGATAATGTTTCTACTAATTAACCTAAATTATTAAAGTCAATATTTTTTTGGCCTATTTTACATACAACGATAACATTTCTGGTTATTACCATTATTATTAACATAAATAACATTTCAGTTGAAAACATATAACATTTTCGGTATTGCTTTTAACCGATCACCTATTTAACCGGTAATGCTGTTTTTAGTCATATTTTAACTGCCTCACAACACAACCTCCCTTACAAATCTATCTCTTGTTGTTTATGCAATATGATAGTCTACCTTTACAATATCTATCAAAATCCTTTCATTGATATACTCTATTGGAAGACCACGTATATGGATTCATACCACTGGAAGATAAGGTTGTATTTGCTGTAGAGAAATTCGAGCACCACTTTTGCACAGTGATATAGTGATCCATGGCTTTCCAAGGACCCTCCATTAGGACCTTTAATCTATCTTTCATGCTTCAGAAATCTTAAAAAAAAACTCAAAAATTCAAAACCTCTAATTTTAATCCCTGTGCCTACGCAAACAGTCACCGTTTACCGATATTTTCATTTGTCGAACCTCCACCAAAATCTCCACCTGACGACAAGATGAACTCGACAACTCAGAAACCAAAAACCCGACGAATAACCAACGAACAATCGACGAACCCAATGAATCAAACGACTGCAAATCGTGACACCATGCAACCCCGAAGGTAAGCGCAATGACAATGACAAGGACAACGACGACCAACAAGGGAGATGACAAGGGTAGTGTCGGCAACGATAGCCGTGGCCGGCAAAGGAGATGATAAGTTTAAGATAAGAAATTTTTAGGGATCTAAAGCTTTTTTGTGATTTTAGAGAAATTAGGTTTTTATATAATAATATTTTTTAAGGTTTTTTTTAAATTTTTTCCAAAATTACATGAATGTCACATATGTCACTTAATGAATTTTTTTTAACGTCTGTTACGGTCGATACACTTAAAATGGTAACGTTTGTAACGTTAGACACCTATATTGACCGAAAAAAGTTTAGGCACCTAAATGTAAAAAAAATGGCATAAATTGGTTACTTTTTTAACTTCTACTTCTATGCGTTTCTATCATTGGAATCTATGAAGGCCCAGAATTAGAGTAGCGGAGTAGTGTTGCCTTAGTTTAGGTGGTAACCCATTTGACTTTGTTCCTTCTAGTAGCATGCTATCGCTGACTACTGTGTATTCATTCACTTCATGTTTCCTCTTAGGGATGGCAGTATGACCCGAACCCGACGGGGAAACTCGAAATCCGGTCAAGTTCGGGTCGGGTCGGGTTGAATGATATCGGGTCGGGGTCGGGTTCGGGTTCAGGGATTTTTTCGGGTTAGGTTCGGGGCAAGGTATCCCCGCCCCGATTATATATATATATATATATATATATAATATTTTATATTTTTATATTAATTATATATATAATATTTTATATTTTTTTATATTAATTATATATAAAATATTTTCGGGTTCGGGTTTGGGTATAATATTTCGGGTCGGGTTCGGGGACGGGGCAAAAAAAAATCCCCGACAGGGCGCCCCGATAAAAAACCCGTCAGGGATCGGGTCGGGGTCGGGGACGGGGATTCATTTCGGGTCCGGGGACGGGGCGAGCAAAACCTGCCCCGAACCCGACCTGTTGCTATTCATATTTCCTCTTTTTAAATTTAGCCGAGACTTACATTTCTGTCTATATGCAGAGATTATTACGCAGGGATTACTTCCCATTACAGACGCGTATATAAAGATTGTTCAACTATGTATTTATTTATTTATTTATTTATACATGCATTGTATTTTATCTTTATTTTTGCCGGAGGTCTTCCACGGAAGCTGCTCTCAACCTGGCGTTGGGGGCAGCCTACTACACTACCTCTCCCTTACTCCATTACATATGGGAATATGGTTTTGTTGTTGTTGTTGTTGTACATTATTAGACATGAAAGACAAAACTAGGGAAATAATATAGGCGAGATTTTTTTATTTTGAAAATTGGGTTGGTTAAGAATTATTTTGGCATTTAAGTCATTTGCTACGGTATACATGGAACTCCATAAAATATTTAAAAATTGAAACTCGTCATAGGGGCATGACGAGTTCCACGAACACTGTAGCAAATGTCATAGATCGCAAAATAATTTCCAGATCACCCTATTGGGATAAATAATTTGCCTGCTTGGATTATTGGGATGATTTTACCAACATGAACTATAAAAGTAAATAAAAATTCAAATCTAATTAGGTGTAGGTAGGAATGTAAATGAGATTAGCCATATCGCGAGCTATTTGAGATCGATTCGGTCAACTCTTGAATCGGATGGACTTGACTCGAGATCGAACTCAACTCGAACTCTTAACGAACAAAAGCGAACTATTTAATATCCGACTCGAAAAACTCGCGAGTAACTCAAAAAAATAATATATATTAAATTTTTAATTTTTTAAATTAAATTATTAATAATATTAACATTTATGTGTTGTTATTTTTTTAAAAATAATATAACGCTTTCATGTACTTAAGGTTCATGTTCGAGCTCAAGTTAGAGCTTCAATCGAGTTAAGTCTGAGAATATTTCTAGTTCAAGTTTTTTTTAGCTTGAGTCAAGCTTCGATTTTTCATTTCGATTTTAGCTTGAAAATTTTTAACTCGCGAGTTTTCAAATTGTGTCTAGCTTTAATTTTTATTTCAAATTTAAGTCGAACTTGATAATTTTAAACTCATAAATTTTGAATTAAATCAAATTTAATTTTATATTTTTTAAGTCGAATCGAACTTAACAATGTTCAAACTCGACTTGATTCGTTCCAGGTGTAGGAAAAAAATCCAACCGTGGGTATGTGCCGGTGCAAGATCTTTGAGTCATAAAGATATTTGTGTAGGGAACACGCATTTTTTAACCCATATTTATTATAGTAACAAAAAAATGGAGCAAAGGCTTACAAAAGAAACCATATCAACGTCTGAGAATCATGAATCGTACAAAGAGCAACATGATCATCGCCGTACCATAGACCCCGAAATAGAACCTACAACATAGAAGATCCAGTTTTCAACCATATATACACCCATGTATCTTCTCCCCCCATGTATCAAACAACGGGGCCTTGTTCGTAGGTGGAACTAAGATACCATATTATATAAACCAGCATCTTCGGGTTTTCTTTTTTGTGTGTGCAGAAATTTTCAAGGGTTTGCAGAGACATGGCGAGAGGGAAGGTTGAGCTGAAGAAAATCGAAGACAAAAAGCGAAGACAGGTGACGTTTTCGAAGAGGAAAATGGGTTAATCAAGAAAGCTGGAGACCTTGCTGTTCTTGGGTGTTGATGTGGCTCTCATTATGTTTTCCTCTACAGGATTGCTTCACCAGTTTTGCACTGCTCAAAGGTTAATTCTCTTCGCTTTTCAATATCTTTGGATGAGATTTTGTTTGTTGTCAGTGAAAGACAAAAGGTTCGTTGGAGTCTATATTTCCATTTTTGCCAATTCTTGAGAAACCCAATTTTTTCTACTTTTAGTTAACCCAAAAGTAAAAGTCTCTTGCTAGGGATTTAAATAGCGGTTCTAATCTTATTTTTAATTATGTTATGTTTATCGTGATTAAGGATATAACGAATATTATTAAGGTAATCAGAGTTATCGTGATCACACAATAACAATATCGAACGACACTGTTATTGCTATATCACAGACACTATTACAAACGATGATTGCTATTTAAATTCCTGATTATTAATTACAGGCTTTAGATGCTATCCATCCATAATCATAACAGTCGGTTCCTCATCAAAATTTAGCTTTATTGATTTTTCTGATTTAAATGAATTGCGCAGCCTTAATATACGACTAAAAAAATGTGTTATCGGTATTGTTATTATTTAAATAACAAAATCGGTAAAAATTTACTAGAAACATTATTATTTTTACCGGTTTTGTTATTATTGGGCATTTTACTGGTTTTGTTAACAAAACCGGCAAAACGTTACCCGTTTTGTTATTTTTTCTACCGGTTTTATTATTATTAGGCATTTTACCGGAAATGTTAAAAAAACATTGATGTTTTAGGTAGAAATAATAATGTTTTAGGTAATTTTTTACTGATTTTATTATTTAAATAATAACAAAACCGGTAACACTTTTTTTTAATTGTATATTAAGGATGTCACACTGTACAACTTTCAAAAATTTCAGCTTTAGTGACTTTCCATTATCATAAATTAAATAATTATATTATCTCATCATAAGTCATAATCACTAAAAAAAGAGGTTCATCAAATATTATCATACTTTACAAGTTTGACAGTAACATGAAAGACATTTAAATTATATTAATGAATCGTCCAATGTCAAATTTCAGTCTCTACTTTGCGGAATAAATAATCATACCTTAAATATTCATTTAAAACTAAATAATGTTTAAGTCTTTATTAACATGTGTTAATTGAATATTAATTCAATTAGTATTGCTATTATTATAATATTTAAGAAAATATGGGTTTAAGTGCACATAAACATATATAACTATCTCCTGCCACATTATGAAAATAAGAAAGAATAGAAAAGAATTCGTCATAATAATTTAATTTACAAATATGACTGTTTATATACAGTTTTCACTCTAAGTAAACAATTAACTAATTTCTATCTCTCATGTGCCACTGAACTTACCCCACCTGTTACCTACGGCTTCAAAGAAACTCTCTTGCCAACATTACATAGGCACACCCTTTAGAAATATAGAACGCATCATGTATGGGATACCATCCTCTAAAACTAATGGATAATTAGAGAATAAGATTTTATTGGCTAGGTCACGTTTAGGTCTTCTTTGGAATTTGACATGATAATAACATACTCGTAATCGCAGCCCCTCTTAGCAGGAGTGTTCATGGTTTGTTAATTGTACCGTTTAGCCTAAACGTTCAGCTAATAATTATAATAATTATTAAATTTTGCTAGTCGTAACCTAATAATTAAGAAACGGTTAACTTCTAATAGTTAATTGTTATTAACAGCTTGGTTACATGTTAATATGTAGTTAATCTATTAAATTTTTTTTTTCAAACGCAACACAACATAAAAATTTCAAATTTTACAAAATTTATGATGATAGAAACATATGTATTTCTGAAAATCTTATTTATTTGTAGATGCATTTTATTTTTATAAATATATATATATATATATATATATATTACAAGGTATATTCGAGGGTTTTTTTGTAGTTTAAAATCATACGTACGTATTTATATTTTACATTTTAAAATTAAGTGTTTTTTATCTATGTTTAATTTAATATGCTCCAATATAAGATAAACATGGTAACTAAAAAAATATGGAGGAATCATTTTAATTTTAATTTTATTTCCAATTCAATTCTTTTAAAATATATAATTAATTAATTACAATTTATTAATGGTTAGCTGATGGTTAGCCATTTATAAAAATTCATAACCGTAATTGTATCACCCTTAGACCGATGCGAGTGACCCGATCTGATCAGAGGTGTCACGTTAGGGCCACCAGAGGGACCCACAGTAAAAGTCCAAAAAAAATTAAAATTTTTGTCAAAACGAGTAAAATCATAAAACAATTTATATTTAAAATACAAGTGCATAAAATCATTCATATATTACAAACAGAATTAAAATCATACAAGTTTTAGACTCGGTATAAAAATCAAATGTGACCTATATGCCCCCTAATTACACTTGTACCGTACTCTTCAACCCAAGCCAGAGGAACTCCCATTACAAATGTCGATAGGTGCACTGGATCAATTCTTTTAACCTGAAATTGTTAGTAAAAGAGTGAGCTTTGGGAAGATAAGTAATACATAACTACCAAGTGATGTTGAAGGACATGCAGATAAATAAGAAAGCATAAATTTTCCTTATTGATTCAAACGTCTACAGGTTTTCGTGAGGAGCTGAGGTTCTACTGAAATTTCTTCCAATAAAATACAGGAAGCATACAGTTCAGAGGAAAAGTTCAGAGGATCAGGTTCAAGAGATCAGAATAGGATGTCTAGTGTGTTCCCACGAAACCAGAATAAATAAAATATAAATAGTAATATTTTATTTTAGTAAAACAAATTTTTAAAACCATTATAATATCCTCTACCTGAATACTCCATACGTAGTCCCCCAAAACTGTATCAATAAGGGCTTACCCTAAGCACAAAGCAAATGAGCCACCCTAAGGGAGTACCTTGGGGCCTATGGGCCTACCCAAGGGTCACCTTAGGTTCGTAAAGAATTACCAGCTTGATCAGAGCTGAACCTCCGTACTCCAGACTCCTACCCATATAATATCCAGTAGAAATCAGATTTAACAGTACCCTATAATATCAAAATCGTATCTAGTAGAATATTGAAAAAAATGACTACGTAGTTAATTTAAATCACATGAATTCCCTCCACCCATACACCATATGCAGTTCCCCAGAACTGCATCCATAAGGACTTACCTAGGCCCAATGGACCTAGGAGCCAACCTAAGGGAATGCCTTGGATCCGTAAGAAATTACCAACTTGAGTGAAAACAGTATCTCAATAAAACAATTCACACAGTAAGTAGTGAATTCAATGGTCCATAAATCGGAAAAATCATATCTTTCAGTGAAAACAAGTAATCATATAACACATATCAGATAGCCATGGTACATAAACAGTCAACCCGTATATCAGTAAATTAATAAATCAATAATTCCAATAAATCACATTTCAAAATAGATAAAATAATCATATAGCAGTAGGGAACACACAAGAAGATTTAGTTATTTTCGGAGGTATTTGATCGTTATCAAGAAAGGAAACGTAGAATTTATGTAGATTAATCAGATTTCAAGTACGTTGTCCCTATATATAAAGGGTTCGATTACTAACGGATCTAATCATACATTTACGAATTGATACTTTAGTACCATTTAGGATTCAAGTGCATCAGGAAGGTATTCAGGAACCTTGCATCAGAATAATTTAAAATTCATATATAACTAGAGTAATTCCATTATTCTGGCAATCAGGGGCATTTTGGTGGTTTGGCGATAATTTATAATATTTAAGATTATATCGAATCATCAAACTTGAGTCAAGTTGCACTAATTAGATTCCAACACTGTGATATTTGCCAATCATTTGGGTCAAGATACTTCACAGATATTCCCTCCCCAGACTGATTGCACTAGTTGAACAAACTTCCTTTATAATCAACATCGAATAGATCTTCACAAGATGGATAAATATTTCAGTGGTGTTTACTTTATTTATTATTTGTAACAATATCCAGAAAGACCAACGTACTTGGGTCGTGATTCACCTTAAATAGCAATACAACACTTAAGTTTATGAGTGTTTGTAAAATTTACCAAGGACATCCACTTATTTTAAGCCGTTAGGTTAACAGGCCACTTCAACAATCAAGGTTGCTTCTGTCATCTTAGAGTTCAAGGTATTCTGGTTTTTTTAGGGTTTAGGATATTTTGGTCATTTGAACATTGGAGGTTATTTTAGTTTTTTCACAAATCGAGGATATTTTGGTAATTCTGATCAATCCAAACATATGTACTTTTCTGGTAATTTGGTCTTTTAGGGTTATTTTTTACTTTTAGGGGCAATCTTGGTCTTTTGCAGTGCAAGGGTATTTTTGTAATTTTACTCTATAGAGTTATTTTTGTCAATTTGATTTTAAAATAATACTTAATAATTTAACGATAATTTATCCTATTCAAGATTTATATTGATTTTCTCAATACTTTGTGTGAAATAAGGTTGAACAGATCTCAACACCGCAGTACTCACTAATCATTCGGACAAATATCCTTCAAAATATTCACTTCTCAATACTGATTACACTTGTTTGAATTAGTCACCATCATACCACCATTAGAACGAATCTTGAGAAGACGAACATGTATCCCAATGATATTATTTATTTCTATATTGCAATTGTATCCAGAGAGACCAATGAGCTTGGGTCGTGGTCCAAGACTTTTAGAGGCAGTTCAATGCTTAGGCTTAAGGTATTTTTAGGTTTATCCAAGGTCATTCACTTATTCCAAGTCGTTTCCACTATCAGAGGTAAATCATGTCATATTTGTATCCGAATGGCATTTTCGACATTTTAATCGAAGCAGTATAGGTTTAGAATAGTTAATATTTATTTATGCAGTATAGGTAGTAAAATATTACCTCGATTTATGAAGCACATCGATCGATCATTTGAACTCCATTCGATTGCCCTCAAACTTTAAGTCCATGACCCATAAAGTCTCATATACATAACAAACGGATTTACGCCAGAAATAAAACTTAATCGAAAAATCTAATTGACTCCAAAGATAAATCACTGAAAAATGGCTTACCGAGTTTGAATTTGGCAAAACG